GCGTTTCGCGGCATTTACATGTTGTCTTTTAGGACTGTTTACATATCTGCTTAACAAGTTTACTATAAAACTGATGTCTGGTCGTGACACAGAACATAAGAACAACAGTGAACCTATTAGTTCTCTATACGGAAAGTTTACAATTTCTTCATCTAGATTTTTAGAGATTGTTACATTTACATCAGATGGGGTTTTTACAGGATTAGCATCATTCATGTTAAATCTTTTTATGATCTGTTCTATATAATTTCTTTGATGAATGATAATGTGATTATTATCTTTTATTATTTGCATACCCACAAAATAAGTTAAATTTAATTCTTTAATTTTAAAAGCTTGTTTCAAATAGACTATAATTTGTTTTATCAGGTCTTCACTTGAGGAGACCACAAGACAGTCATCTACAAAAATTAATAAGTAAATTTTTATGCCATTAAATTCTCCTACATATATACAATTGTCTGCCTGTGACTGTGTAAAACCATAATCTTTTAGAAAATTAGTGAACTTTTTATTCCAACATCTGGATGCTTGCTTAAGGCCGTAGAGAGCTTTATTCAATTTTAAAATATAATCATTACTCACTGACACTCCCTCTGGGACTTCTAAATATATGTCCTCATCCAGATTGCCATTTAGAAAAGCTGTTTTGACATCGAACTGTTGAATTGCAAAATTGTATTTAGCTGCGAGAGATAGAATAATTCTAATGGAATCATACCTGATAGTTGGTGAAAATATTTCTTCATAGTCAATGCCCTTTACTTGCCTGAACCCACGTGCACATAAACGAGCTTTATACCTTGTTACCTCTCCATTTTCATCTCTTTTTATGGCAAAGACCCACTTGGCAGATAAGGTTCTTTGGTTTGTTCTTTTGACAGCAGTCCAGGTCTTATTGTCTTCATGTGCTTCAAGTTCTTCATTGACAGCTTTAGACCACTTATCTTTTTGGGAATCCCTCATGGCCTCTTCATATGTGGATGGCACTGTAAATTCCACAAAGTTTGCTTCATAATTTCTATTATATCGAGGTCTTAGATTTATTTGTCTTTCTTCTATGTCTTCTATCTCTTGAGATGGTTCATAACTGGGATCATCGTCTTCTTGACAGCTGTGCAAACTTTCAACCGAGTTTTCTAATGTCGATGAAGTGTCATTGGGATCGTGTACTTGTGTGTCTTCTTGAGTTTTGTCATCTTCTTCATCTACTAAAATTTTTGATATATTTCTTCTCATTTCAGGTGCTTTGTCTTCGTCGAAAATTACATTTCTTGATATTTTTATTTGTTTATTCCTTGTATTGAACATTCTGTAATTGTTGTTGTCGTATCCTACTAATATCATTTTCTCACTCTTCTTCTCTAGTTTCTTTCTTAGTTGGTCTGGTATGTGTACATATCCTTCGCTTCCAAACACCCGCACATGATCCAATTGAGGTTTTACACCAGTCCATGACTCAAAAGGTGTTTTATTGGGAGATTGACTTGAAGAAGTCCTGTTGAGTAGATATACTGCTGTATTGACAGCTTCTGCCCATAAGTATAATGGGACATCTCGAGCATATAACATAGAGCGAGCACTCTCTACTATGGTTCGAAACTCCCTCTCTGCACGTCCGTTCTGTTCTGGAGTGTAGGGTGCTGTGAGCTCATGTGTTATGCCTTCTTTCTCCATGTACTCCTTAAATGCAGTATTGACATATTCCTTTCCGTTATCGGTGTGTAAGATTTTGACACTGTGCATGTATTTGTTCTTGATCATGGCATTATAGATTTTAAAATAATCTAATACATCACTTTTATTTCTCATAAAATACACACATCTGTAGCTAGTCTTGGCATCTTTGAATAACACGAAGTATCTCATACCTTGTATTGATGTCTGACTCATTGGGCCGCATACATCGCTATACACCAGATCCCCTGGCTGTATTTCACTTCTTGAAGATTTTCGAAACGGTAGCCGATGTTGTTTACCATAAGCACATGCTTCNTTGAAAAAAAATGAAAATGAAAAATGAAAATGAAAAATGAAAATGAAAAATGAAAATGAAAAATGAAAATGAAAAATGAAAATGAACTTTATTGTGAATGTGAATTTAGGTAAACAATAGCAGATACATGGCTTAATAATAGAAACGCTCCAAATTCTACCTTTTCAGGCGTATTCACAAATTATACAAATATTAATTACATTTAGATTAGAAATTATACAATTTATATTTATTATTCGAAATGCCAATTCCACCAAAATTATTTAAAAGGTCAAGAAATTTATGTCAGCAATGTTACAACTGTTACAAGTCAATTGAAGATTTTCGAAACGGTAGCCGATGTTGTTTACCATAAGCACATGCTTCACAGGTGTAGTTTTCTTCTGCATTGCCTTTTATTTTCAAACCTTCAGCCACATTGTCAACATTCATGTTTTTGATTTCTTTCAAATTTATGTGACCCAATCTTTCATGCCACTTTCTAATGTCAATATTGTCTTGTACTAAATTGCATTTTGCAGGAATTACTGGCTTAATATTCAATTCATATAGGTTATTTGTTTTTATTTCTGCACTCATTACCACTTCTTTGTTCAAATAAATTAATGCACTATTTCCTTTCTTTGTAATTGAATAACCTTGACGCATTATTACACCCTCGGAAAATAAATTTCTTCTTAAACTTGGAACAAAAAGTACATCATTCAATATTCCTGAATGCCATTTTCCATTCACATATCTTTCTATCATTATTCTTCCAATTCCACATACTTCAACCACATGTTCATTTCCGAGAGTCAATGTCTTTTGATTGCATTCCTTCAAGTCCAAAAATATGTCTCTTTTGTAGGTTATATGAGCTGAAGCGCCACTGTCTAAGATCCAAATATTCTGATCACTTAACTCAATCTTGTTTTCTATATTAAATGCCAGCATATTATCAGGCTTCCTTGTAAACCTTTTTGGTGCTCGACATTCCTTAGCAAAGTGACCTCTCTTTCCACAATTATAACACTCGAAGCGATGTTTGTTATTCTTGTTTTGTTTTGGACCATCACTATTGTGTTCATTTGTTTTTGATTGTCCTTTGCCTTTAGAATTTGTAACTAACAAGGCAGTTTCTTGCTCTTCCTCACAAGTTAAACTTGCTTCTTCATCAAGTAGACGGGCAGTCAAATTGATGATATTTTGCTTTGAAGGATCTAATGACAACCACGCTTGTCGAAGAGTTCTATACTTTGCAGGCAAAGTACCAAGTATTTTTGTCATGATGGCTGTATCACTCACGATTTCCCCACTTTCTTTCAACTGCTTGGCCAAGTTTTCAATTTTGGAAATGTGTTGAGCAATAGTGTCACTAGGAGACATTTTGTATTGATAAAACCTTTCTTGAATAATCATCTTGTTCAATTCACTTTTTTGTTCGTAAATTGATTCTAGTTTCAACATAATTTCACTTGCAGTTTCACAGTTCTCTATCAAAGTTATTTGTTTCAAGTCCATGTTTGAGGTTATTATGAACATGGCCATTCCGTCATTTTTCATCCAAGTAGTACTGTCTCCTTCTGGCTTTCTTTCAGTTATATCAATACCCTTGGCTTTCAGAGCACACTTGATCTGGAATTTCCATTGACGGAAATTATTTCCGTCGAATTTTTCCACACTCATTGAGCGCGTGTCCATTTTGGAGGTTATGACTCTGCAATTTTCACACTATTTGACTAAATACGAAGTTATTGTTTTCCACTGATCTTCAATTTCCAGAGATTTCCTGGGCCCATAACCTGTTAATTGGTAGGTTTTGATGGAATATATCAATGAAATTGAGATTTTCTGATGCACATTTATTGCAAGTAAGAACACTGTTCCTAGACCACAGTAATAGACAAACTTTTTTTTTTTTATTACATAGACAATATTTTATTGCTCTATGACCAAACCATTCATCAACATACAGCCAAGAGCAATATTCTAAATAAAATTATTATATACTTAACAATCGCGTCTTAGTGAGCACCCACCACGTTCTAAAAGGAACCCCCATGCAAAATTTGAGACTCCTGGCACTTGTAGTTTCTAGAGGACTTGTAGTTTGTAGAGGGTGTTAACCTATTTTTATATGACTGCTAAGCAATCCTTTCATACAGATGTAAACAAAAGCCGATTGCAACAGGAATAACGGTTTTCGAAGCGTTATAAGATACAGCAACATTGTAACTTCTTGATCAGCTATTTTATATTGTCGTCGATATTGTCGTCGTAAAATGAAATATTTTATTGTGGGGCAATGTCAGATTCCACTGCGAATTTTAAAGCGTTTCACTTTGCAGTGGAATAATTTTGCAAGTGGAATAATCCACTCCTTTTACAAAAGCTATAACGAATGGAGTCCAAAGCAACATGGAAGTACGTATACAGAATGAACTTGAAGTTTTTGAACGTATTTTCAGGACAACGCATCTGAGTATAGACTGAAGCCTTTTCATTAAAATAAAGTCTCAAAAACAAAATTGATATTGATATCCCATATAGTCAATGTTTTTAAGTATTTGAGTAGCAGAATAACTCATTTTGTTTAAGTTTTATCTAAAATCCAATGTATCCAATCCAACGTAGCAAAACCAGCCGCACGTTATTTCAGTTATTACCTTACACCTCGTGCCTTTAGAACTACATGATACCGGTGAGTTTAGCTGGATGTGCCTCCATCCAAATAATAAATAACAACCAACCGTTCATTTCAATGTTCGATACAAGATCGAATCTTACTTTTTACTATTGCCTAAACGCAAGCGGCGAATGTTATCGTCAAGGTGAATTAAAACATAATTGGTTATTTTACGCACACGAAATCCTACCCACACTTAATACTCTATAAATGAAAAAAAAAGCAATGACCGTAGGCGACTGAAAACAAAGTTTTCAGGTTTTCATCATATGCGCACTTGAATTTTTTTCTGAAAATTTTAAATTTTCACTTTACACATATAAAATTAAAACTGACCTTAAAGAAATCAACAGGTGTTCCAGCACATAGGAAAGAACACAATAAGTATCACTGACGCAGACGCGTGTCGATCGAAGGCAAGTCGCGTACGGCCGGCGCGTGCGCGTCCACTGAGCTAACTGCCGAAGGTTTTAGAGTGGTGCACTTCATTCATGGCATTTGTAGCTAGGCTGTTTGTTTTGACGGGCGATATCTCAATTTTAAAGTGGGGAATGTAAATAAACTACCTACCTTATTTAATTTTATGAATAGTTAGGGCGCGTAATACGGTGAGTGTGCTGCCCTCTTATCGTTCATTAATTGTCTATTGGTAATTAGTCATAAAACAGTACATAAAAATTAAAGCATTACTTATTCATCCTAGTCTAGTGAGTAATTAAATAAGCACTGAAATTACTAATGATCTACCTAATAGTATTTAATACATTTCTATTTTCTTTTCTACACAATAATTTATAGAAGTAATCCAAGGGGGTTTTTGGAAAAAAATATAATGATTTTTTCAGCAGATAGCTAGTCCTCCTTATAATGTTTTGAATTCAATTTAGAGTCAAATACCATTGCGTGAAACGTAATGGTGGCAGCCTGAAAGTATCTCTACTGTGTACTATTTTGCAAGATAATTGTATAGTCTATTAAGGAAGCAATACAAAAAAATTGAGTATAGTCCGATGTGCTGTCCATTGAACGAAGATCTTGTAAAGTAGCCACTTAATTGACTACATATTATTACGTAACAATGTTCAAAGACAAAGATAATAGTAAAATAATAGTCAAGGAGTCGTTGAGCTTGGGCCTGCTGAAGTATATTGGTCCCATGGATTGTTTGATTTGATTGAATTTGAAATAGAGGATTAGTGCTCATTAAATCGGTCATTTATCGTTCCAACGACAAAATACAGTATTTTTTATGTCCCTAATTAACTTATATTTTATATGGTACGATATTTCTGGATTCTATTGACGCAGACTGGTAATAAGTGGGTATTATTTGTGACAGAGTATTATACCTACTAATATGATAAGACATATAAAATTTTAGGTAAAAGGACAATGCAGTTTTATAATTGGTGCTCGTTTTTTTCCCTTTTACGTCGCTACTGACATCATACTTAGCTGTAGTATGTTTCAGATATTAATAAGATATGTAGTATGTAATAATATCAATTAATAAATAAAGATTACCTCCGGTTGTGGTTGACGTGGGACAAATTGTCTACTACTTAGTTGCGAGTTGCGACCATATTAATATTATATTGTATCCGTAGGTACTTAATGTAATATTAATTATGTTTTTTACGTTACTTGTAAACGTACATTGTTCGACGTTATGGATTTACGCACAACACACTTAAGACACACATACTTTCATCAATGGTTGATAAGTAGATAATTAAATATTCCCACGTTGGGTGCCATTAATGGTCACTTGGTTCTGATAACAAGTCTCCATTCCATATTACATTATTAAACTTTAAATACCCATATTTATGGACGATTTAGTAGTTGGGTCCTGGGAGGAACTTCATCCAGCAGTAGGCTGCAATTGACTGAAATGACGCGAAGATTACTCGGATAATAATCGATCTCAATAAATTAAAAATTATATTTAAAACACCGCCGTTTCTCTAACAACTGTTTGAAGTTACTGATATGGGTGGTATGACATATTATTTAAAATCATGATTAAAGACTTTCTTATTCTTAAACGCCTACACGAATTGGTATAATGAAATGTGATGCGCGTGAAATTGCTATAAAGAATCAAGTAGGCGCCCAAAGATATCACATAATAGTACCAATTACGTCGGAAAGCTGATAAAAAAATCATAATTAATAAGCATCATTGCAAAAAAATTGATCTTACTTATCTCCTTTTATCGTGAAATTAATAATGAAATAACAGCATTGGAATGTATGATACATGTGGCAATTTATCTCCAATCTAATCAGAGTGAAGGTACCTACTTTTATTACTCCGTTGATAACACTACGAGTACGTTTAGAACAAGAGTCGAGTTTTATCAAATCTTGTTCTATTTCTTGTAGCTCGTGAAAGTGGTTGTACAGCTACTTGAGAAGCACAAACTTGGATTTGACACATTACTTAACACTAAAAAGAGTTACCTAAAGAACATAGAGATTTACAAATGAGAGTCGAGAGCAGATATGCTAAAAACTTAATAGTAAACGACTACGTGTTTTTTGACTAACAAACAAAAAATACTCCTTATTTAGAAGTGTTATGCGTAGTAGGTAGACAGACAATCAACATCAGACAATAATGGACTTCCCAACTAAAAATAGTGGATATAGTAATTTTTATACTAATACAATTTATTACATAAAATATGCTTTGTTAGCAGTTAATATTCGAGGAGACACGTAGTATCGTCGGCGTCTCTTATCAGATACGCTTTGATTAGCATTTGCCTATTATCGTACATTGTAAGGATGGGGAGAGTAAACACTTGTACTTGCATGCCGTATTCAGTGTATTTAAGTTTCTACAGGCCAAACGTGGGTACCAACCAACCAAATCGTCCCTTACATGACTAACTCTCTCATCTCAGTTTTGCCACTTTCTCAAAACTTTTTTTCAAGTTATTGTTTAGATACGTTAGCTACACACGTGTCTATAAGTTGAGAACCAATCTTCATACAGATACGTGAGTTAGAGAAAATCGTAGACAGACAATGGAAGTAGGAAAAAATGTGTAGTCCTAACTCAAATCGCCAAAAGACTGAGATGTGATAGTTACCTAGTCATACGAGGGACGAAATGTTTCATTAAAAATAAATATCGCATTTACAACATTAGTCTCGACCAGTTGCTTCGCCCGCATGGATATCGATCAGTCAAAGAAGCCTATATTGCGCAAATCAAAATTCTAACTTGCCAACTCTATTACATAATTTACATACATACCCTATTCTACGCGGAAGAAAGAGAATCCCCATCATTTAAATCTAATGGTAGCCAAGCTATGTCCTTCTCCAAGGTACAATCTATTTCTAAACGGTTTAGAAGTGAAATCACAACAAACATAAAAACAGACATGGTTGCTTTTGCTTCAATGTTGAATAGTTCTGACAAAAAACTCAAAAATAAAAACCGTACTTTAACGATGCATTACTTAGTTAGTTTTGTTGGCGTATATTACTTATCTGGAATTAAAAGCAGCTTGCATCGAGATAATAATACTTCCTTGTGTATAATATGTCTAGGTAAATCGTTTTAATATAAAATGATGATAAAATCACAGCGATGAAAACACCCGATATTTTTTATTATCAAACAAATTTTTACTTAATATTTTTTCGAAAATATAATTTCTTAATGGATAGAATATACAATTATTGTAAGTCGAATATACATTGTATTTATATCCAATGTAAGAGATCGGGCGTAAAGAAAAATGCATTTGAAATTCTCAGAAGTGTAACACATTTCCATGCCCCTCGGGAATGCATAATTTCAGGAGCGCGTGCGTCAGTCTGCCACAGATCAGCAAGTCTCTGCGCTCTTTACATACGATTAAAACCTTCTCTGGATTTCGAAATTGTCAGAATTCATATCGGAAAATCCTACATGTACCTAAACACAGGACCTTAATTTTCCTCAAGCAATGATGCGTCCGCGCCCGCAGTGCGCGCGCGTTTAAACAACTGAAAAGATCATTTGATTATTTTTTTAATCTTATCAAAGAAACCTCATTGTTATCAAGTGTTTAGTTTCTCCGCGGCACTTGCTGTGTTCTGTCATCACCTGTGTGTGAATCTTGAAAATGGTGCCTTATAAGTGATTTTTGTGCTTTGGGAATTCTATTTTGACCAACTAATTGTAAGTCCTGGATGACTCTCCTTTAACTACTGTTTATCATGTTTGTTTACATGTCAAACTAGTCGTTAAATTTACATTAATTGTATTATTCATTAATTAAATGGCTCATTAACCAACATTTTAGCTGTTGTAAAACACTGAAAATGGTTCATAATGCTTGGCGCGAAAAGACCATGGTTAACTGTGTTTTGTCATTGCCTAATCGAGATGAGATAATAGCTCCACTTATTTTAACGTGTTGTAACATAGCGGCATGTGACTAACTAGAACCTAAACTTTGAATCATTCCAAGAAATTCCAAGTATATACCTACAGAAAGTACTACTTTATCATAAGTATTCTCTGAATCAACGCCTGGTGATAGATTAGAATATTTTTGTAGACTTAGTGCAATGATTAATTACAATCATTATTCATGACAAAACAACCTGTCTGCTTAATTTAATAATGTTTTATTGTATTAATGATTCAATTAAAATATCAATGAATTCTTTCAAAGTAAACACCCAACCTAACCTAGATCTTTTGGTAGCTAAGGTTGCTGATGACGTCAAATAATACAAACGTGATGATATCTAAAGAAAAATTCGGTACAGATATATTAAAATTATCGTTACAAAGATAGGTAAAGGCTGACTAACTAACAAAACAAACGTCATTGAAGCAAATGCATGTAATTCTGAGTGTGTGCCAAAATGTTCTTTCTATATTCATGGGATACACTGCTGTCGCAACGAATTGGTTTATCGAAATCTGTGAAAGATTAACCAAGCATTCAAGAAGGGCTATCTTAGTGTGTTTTGTATCTTAACAATGAACAAGCGACGATGTGGAATGAAAGGTTATGATCGCGAGAGATAAGATCTTACTGATTACCGAGATTCAGAGGAACCACATTTACTTGCTCTGATTATAGTTGCTGCAAAATGTTTTTGCAAATAAAATTTTTCATGCACAAATAAAAAGTAAAAGCACCACAATTCCACTAAACTTAGTTTTTAAAATTCCTTTAATGATAGAACTGTTTTGCATTACGATACCGTATGAGTTTACTAAAGAGTTTATGTGGGCTAGTGAGGTATAATGTTATGTAAATACTTATTTATTGTATTCAAATTCATCATTGATTGTAAAAGGATAAATTTATTATTACGAAAAGGGAACCCCCTTTTCCCCAGGTTCACTTGTAGAAGATAGCAAGGATAATGCAATTGGAAAACCCTCTAACGTACCTAACGAAATAATTAATGTATTAAATTTTTTTAACACCATTGTATAGGCGACTTATCCTCTATTTGGATCTATGTAT